CAATATGTAGTTGTGATAGATTATTATTGTTCACAGATATTTACTATCCTGTTCCTTTCTCCCTGAAGGGGAATTTCCTTACTCTAGGAATGTTAATTCTTCCTATGGCTTTCTTTGGCCAATAAAATTTGAGTGGCCTTGAAATGTGTCATAATAATCAGAAACTTTAAAATATGTTTGTGTAGCTTGGCTCAGTGCTTTTCACCTCGCTACAAAAATGAGTATGTTCCCGAACAGAGTTTTTCCTTCAACCTAGACCCATGATTGAGAAGATACACAGAGCACTTATGAGTCTAACTCACTGCCTGGAACACAGCCACAGCTGGCCCACAGTGTTCCTATAACATGAGCAAAGAAGGTTTTGTTATTTTTTATGTAAACTACTGAGATTTTGGAGCTGTTTTCTGGAATGGTGAGTTCTTTCTTGCACTCCAACGTCAGCTCTTGCATGACAGTTCAAGACTCCAAGTACTTAAATAAAAAAAAAAAAGAAAATCCACTATTTCTTCTTCTAGCATATCCTAAAAAAGAATTTCACTTATCTGTCTGCTTTTGTCTCCTTACACAAACTCTCACAATTGAACATTACAGAGTAAGAGTGATCATTCTGGTCAGTTAGCACAGGGTCCTATAACTGGGATGCAGGTATGAGCATTAGAAAGATTCAGAGTGGGCACTGCCACGGACTTGTGGGGATGTGACAGCAATCTGTTCAATTAACAGTACCTGAGAATCTAGTAGGAGGAGGTCATTTCCAACAGGTAACAATGTAAAGAAGCACCAAATTACAGCACAAGATGTGTCTGGGGTCAGAGGCCAGATAAGATACAAGGAAGCAGGAGACAGTGCTTTCCCACGTGACTGCCATGATGGCAATCTTATAAAAACCCATTCATCCCCTACTGCAGTTTTAAACCTAACATAAGGAAGGGGGTGATAAGAAAACTCCCGGGGGAGATTTTGAACCTGTATCAGACTAAATTATATATTGAAATGGACTAAGAAATAATTAAAGTGGACTGGATTTGGTCAGAAGTGCTATCTTCTATAACACTTTGATTTTATTTTTACTCTAAATCCTATTGTGCAAACAAAAACATAACCCTGAATCAATGACATATTTTCACAACTAAATCTGTACTATAATTTTTCTATTTGCTATACAAGGAACTGTTTAGAGGTATTTAGCCTTTTACTGTCACAAGACTAGTTATGTGAGTGTGTATCACTAATTGGATACATGAGGTGTACATGAGTGGGTGCTGGGCAGCCAAGGAGAACAGAAGAAAGCTGGCTCTGTTGCTATGGTTTTCTACAGAGAAGCCAAGAACAGAGTTTTCCAGAGTGGAGGCTGGTACATTCCTGACTGAGGCACAATTGCAAACATTATCTGGTTTTTCCAGGAACTAGTTCCAGCTACTCTTCTGCCTTATCATTCTCTCTTGGGACTTTTACTGCACAATAAAATGCTGTTATTTTTAAGAGGCAAGTTGTTTTTTCTTTATGCCAGGCACTGGCATTTTAGATTCATTATCTTAATACATCACTAGAGGTAAAAGGCAGGAATTTGTGCATGGGTGGGGTACAGCAGGCCTCTGACCCCAGACACATCGGGGTGGATTGGGGCTGGGCCTGTTGGGAGGAGGAAATGGTTGGAGGTGGGCTGGCTGGCCCGCTCTAATCAGCGCTCCATCAGGGCTGGGCTGGCTGGGGGGAGGGGCCATGGGCGATTGGTCAGCAGGCCCCATCCCTGATTGGGGTTGGGAGGCGGGGCCAGCCATGGGAAGGGGCTGTGGACAGTGGGCCAGCCGGCCCTGCCCCCAAATGGGGTGGGTGTTGCTGATTTGGGCCAGCGGCCTTGGGGAGAGGCCATGGGTGGTTGGCCGCTGGTCCTGCCCCTGATCGGGGTGGTGGTGGTCGATCTGGGGTGGGGTTGGGTGGGGCTGAAGGAGGTTGGTCGGCCAGTCCCACCCCCTATTGGGGTTGGGGGATGACCAGGGGTGGGGCTGGCCAGGAGGAGGGGCTGCGGGAGGTTGGCCACTGGCTCCACCCCTGATCGAGCTGTTTGCTGGCCACAGTGGCGTCATAGTGACAGGTCACTGGCTTTTTATATATATAGACTAGAGGCCTGATGCATGAAGATTTGTGCAAGAATAGGCCTTCTTTCTCCTGGCTGCCGGCACTGCCTTCGCTCTGGCCCGGAGCTGCCTTTCCACCTTCCCACGCTGCCCAGTGGCCCGGAGCGGCTGGGGAGGTATGGAACACCTGCGTCCTGCCCCACCCCAGCAGCTCAGCGCCTGCATATGTAAATTAACCCGCCAGCTTATTGGGTTAATTTGCATACTCACCCTGATTGGCTGCTGGGAATTGCGAAGGTACAGTCAATTTGCATCTTTCTCTTTTATTAGTGTAGATTATAACAAACCCATAAGGAGTTAGTATCATTTTCAAGGAGAGGAAACTGAGGCTTAGATTGTGCAACACATCCAAAGTCTGACAGTTATTGGTTCAGATCCATCTCTGCCATTTATAGTAATTGCAGAGCCCAAGTCCTTAACCACCTGTGCCATATGACCATAAAAATGCCTTTACAAATAACCATAAAAGTGCCTCCTCCTTCAACTGTTCCCCAATTTCACTTTTCCATGAAGTCTTGCAGACTCAAAAGGGACTGATGAGAGTGTCCTTTACTCCCACCCTAGGGCGGGTGGTAAAAAGGGAACAGAGATATTTGTGTGAAGGAGAAGTAAGATGTTGGCTTTGAATAAGAGAGAGATTCAATTATTGGACTTCTGTCAGATCCCTATACTGCATTCACCACTATACATTCCCTCCCATCTTGTGCTGAGATAACCCCTTCACCGTGAAAGAGCCCAGCAATGAGTATAGTTGACAATGGAATTAAATGCTCTACTGTAACCAAGTACACACCCTGAGTCTGATAGGCATGGATGTTGTCAGGGGGGTTGTCCCTGTATCTAGGACCATACAGACAGATGGTATTTTCTCTTTACCCCCAATCATTCAATGCCATCCATATAAAGAAACTAGAGATGATTGGTATTTGGTCTTGATTTATGGTAGACCCAGCAGATTTCTAAAGAGAAACACTTTACTGTGAGGTTTCTGAGAGGATTTGGCCAGAAAGTTAATTACATTTAGAAGGATTAATACTAAATCCAGATTAAAAGCCCTGGATCTCCAAATATATTGTCTGCTTACACAGTAAAAAGTGGACTTTAGGCATTATGCTGAAGAGCCATTCCATGACAAAATTTTCTTGTCATTTCCCTCCGCATCAGTGCCAGTGATACATTTTTTTTCCTTCAAAGCCTAGGATTATGGTCAGGAGATATTCTGTAAAATAAGCTTCTATCTCTGAGGTTTTTATAGTATCTCTTTATCAATTCCTACTAAAAACATTTGGCACTAAAATTATGTTCATAGAACACAACCTTTTCCCAGTAAGTGGACTTGGTTTTGGCACTGGATTCCAGGGACCTTAATAAGGAGATGGGGGAAGGAGAAACAATGGAGAAAAATATATATGAGCCAAACAACCTTAGGTTTAGGAATAAGATTATAAGGAAATAGAAATTTGAAATTAGCAAAACTTTAAAAAAGAGTTTGTGATATCCTAAGTTCCTAATTTTTCCTTTTTTTTTGTAATGGTATGCAAAACAAGGAGGTGAGTTGCGCATTTTAAAGTCTAAAACATTTTAGAACTAAAATAGACATATAATTCTGAATAACTACAATTAATAGTGATTGCTTCATTTCATTTTTCATGCATTACCATCATTTTTGTAGGTTTCTAGCCTGGAATAGTAATTTTATTATGAAAAATCTATAATCAAGAAAAGGAAAAGGGTTAAAATCATATAAAAATAAAAAAGTATGAAGCAAAAATTCACCAAAGATCTGAAGTTATTTCAAGGTTTGTATCTACCACTGTCTCTATTTATTCTCATCACCTTTACTCCATTCTCTACTTAACCCCTTTTACAAGTCAATCCCACTGTGACCTTCTCATTATGTCCTTTTAATATTTCAGTATAGCTGCTGTCCTTCATGTATGCCATTTCAGGAACTCCAAAACAAAATCCCCAATTGTCCTTCTGTCTCCTCCTACCTGCTTCCAATTAACTCTATTATTAGGAGAAGATGTGGGATATTACATTTCCATCTATCTATTAAATGGGGAAATGATCTGGCTTGAGGACTTTAACTCCTATGGGCAGTAAGGTCCTATTAGGTTAAGATTTGTAATATTCATATTGCCTCCATTCTCAACAAAAGGTCTTTTCTGGGGCAAGCCAAAAGGATTGGAAGAGCTTGCCAACACAGTTGGAATTTTTCCAGGCTTTTGCTGACAGAATTTGTAAATGGTCTTCAAGAAGGTATTAGGGTAGCCTGGCCAGTGTTGCCCAGTAGTTGTGTGTCAATTGACTCTTGAACCAAGAGGTCACTGGTTTGATGCCCAGTCAGGGCACATGCCCAGGTTGCAGGCTAGATCCCCAGCAGGGGGTGTGCAGGAGGCAGTCAGTCAATGATGTTTCTCTCTCATCAATGTTTCTATCTCTCTAGCCCTCTCCCTTCCTCTTTCTCTAAAAATCAATAAAAACATATTTAAAAAGGTGTTAGAATATAATTTTACCTTCTAGGAATTGTTCAAAAACACTCTCCAAAGAGAAACCAGAAATCCTTTACCAAAAAGCGTCAAAAATAAAAATATTCCCAGTTCTGTGGTTGTGCATAATTTGATGAAGTCAAATAGGAAAAGGGATATTGTAGTATAAAAACTTATTTCTTGATTTCTCTCCACTGTCATATATTTCAGATATTACCCTCTCCATTTTCAGAAAATTCATTCATCATAGACCCTTATTTCCACAACTCCAGTAAGACCCAGTTGCATGGGTCTTATTGCATTGGCTGCCTCAGTTAGAGCCTTTTCCTTCCATCACCAAATATCTACATGCCTTATAGGTGCAGAATAGTCATTTGGGATGAGCCCCTGCTTTGAGAATGTAGAGAAGTTTCTCTCGAATCTGTCTGGTACGGACAGCATAGACAACTGGATTGAGGATGGGTGGGATTAGGAGGTAAAAGTTGGCCAAAAGGATATGGATATGGGGAGGCACATGATGTCCAAAGCGGTGAGTGAGAGAGGAAATAGCAATGGGGATGTAGAAGACAAGGATGGCACAAATGTGAGAACTGCATGTCCCTAGGGTTTTAAGCTTAGCCTCAGGGGTGGCCAGTCCCATTACAGCTCTGAAAATCATCACATACGAGGCAGTAATGGCTAATGAATCCACGATCAATACTAGGAACCCGATTCCCATTCCATAAAAGTCGTTGACCGTTGTGTCACCACATGCAACAGTGACCACGGCCATGTGCTCACAGTAGGAGTGGGCAATGATTTGGGTCCGGTAAAGGGACAGCCTCAGGCGAATCATTAGGGGTAGGGGTCCAATGTAGAGTACTCCACGGAGGAGGGCAGCCAGACCCAAACGACTCACCACTGTGTGGGTGAGCACTGAAGTATGGTGTAGTGGGTCACAGATGGCCACATAGCGATCAAAAGCCATGGCAAGGAAGATGCCTGACTCAACTGTGGCAAAGCAGTGGATGAAGAACATTTGGGCCAAGCAGGCATCTAAGTCAATGTGGTGGGCACCAAACCAGAAGATGGCTAGCAGTTTGGGCATGGTAGAAGTTGACAGGACCAAATCAATGACAGCCAACATGCACAGGAAGAAGTACATGGGCTGATGCAGGCTGCGCTCCATCTTTACCACAGCCAGGATGATGACATTCCCCACCACAGCCACCAAGTACATGGAGCTGAAGGGAATGGAGAGCCAGATGTGCAGAGACTCCAGCCCTGGGATGCCAGTGAGCCAGAAAGAAGTAGGCGCCAAGCAGGAATTGTTAGACACAAACATATTTGAGGGTGTGAAGTACCCAGAGGACAGGAGCTCTTATTTTTAGATTTTTACTTCTCTGAGAAATATTGCCTCTGGAAACTGTAGACTACTAGTTCTTTTTTTTTTCCATCCTGGGAAACTGATGGAGCCTATAATAAAGCAGAATTGGAAGTGTGGTTTTGAAAATTGGCATATTACATATTTATAAAAGAGACTATGCATAAAAACACCCACTGGTAAATGTAGAAACAGGCATGCTCATGATTTCTACTGATAACTTACCCTACTCCACTGTAGAAGTTCCCAAAATGTTCATCCTCTTCGATGAATTTTGCTTTTGGAAACATTTTTTAAAGGAAATGAAAAATACAGAAAAGTTCTATGAGCCATGATTAAATGTAAGTCTATTAATGTAATGTATTTAGCCCAGTGCCTGCATATACTTCTCTTATCACTGTATATATAGTAACATTGTAACATCAATAACAATGATTAGCTATTTGTAATTACTGATTTTATAATAAAAAGTTGGAAGAAATATATGTTCAAAAATAAAGCACTGTTTAAATTCTAGTACATGCATTCAATGAACTAGAATTATGTCTATAACCTTTTAGATCTATATATTTACATTGTAAGATGTTTACATATTTCAGGAAGGGAGGCCATGTTCAGTAAGGGAACAGGAGGCATATTCTGATACAATTATTTAAAAATATGTGTGTGCATTTAGAAACATACCTTAATGTATAAACACACCCTTCTTTGACTTTTCCTTTTGTATGTATATTGTTTTTTAAAAATGGTCAAGAGCTTTAAAAATAATCTTAAAAATTTCAATAAAAAACATTTTCCTTGGTAAATTGTGCCCTTATATTAGTCAAGTGCAACTCCCTTTTCTCTAAAGGTTCAACATTGAATTGGACATATTATCAAATTGAATTGACTTCTTCAAAGATATTTGATATGAAACCTAATATCTCAAAGAAAAAGCTCTCTCATTTAAGGTTGCCCAGATTTCATGGTTAAAAAGATGATGAACAGATAAAGTTCCTTAAGAAAGGTTTAGTGTAAGGACAGACCCTATTAAACTTTCTGAGAATCTGGGCATTGTATATAATTTGAGGTAGATAAAAGAAGAGGTGTATCTTTTTATGAGCAAATCTCACTGGACATTTTTGTCCCATTATCTGATGATAGTGATAAAAAAAAAAAAAAGAATAGACTGACAGAGACCAAGAAGTATGTGATTAGTGAAAAGGGTCCTGTTGACTGTTTTCTATTCTTTGAAGAGACAGAGGTCAGCATGAAAGCACTGGCCACCACCTGTCCAACTCCTTGCTCTTCTGCCCTTCAGGTACCTCTTGCTAAGGATCTAATGATGGCTCCTATTGCTTCACAGCATTGGGGTGCAGAATCCGAGGGTCTAATTTGCATCCTCCTCTGCCTTGGGCTTGACATCCTCATGCTTTCCACCAGATACTCAGCAGAGTCAAGTCTCAGACTCCCCATGATCACACTCACCATCGTGCCTTCAAATAGCCATATTTTTGCTGACAGGTTTCACGACCTTCTGGACCCTTATCCAGGCAAATTTCCTCCATTCTTCAAGGCCTGTCCCAGATCACCTCTCCTCTACAGAGCCTTCTTTTGTATCTCTAGCCTATACAAGAGTAAGTGGCCAGTAGTCAATGCATTCTCCCCAATTGTCTCAAATAAGCCATGCACATTTCAAGTATTCTTGTCTAAAACATAAATAGCAATTATATTTTCATAGCAAATAAGCATAAGAAATGCCCCCATGCATAAATACCACATGATCTCACTCATTTGTGGAATATAATGAACAACATAAACTGATGAACAAGGACTGATCCAGAGACGGAGAGGCATTGATTGGACTGTCGGGCCTTGGAGGGAAGGTAGGGGAGGGTGGGGGTAAGGGGGTAAGATCAACCAAAGGACTTATATGCAAGTATATAGGCCTAACCAATGGACACGGACAACGGGGGGGTGAGGGCATGAACGGGGGGTGGGGGGGTAGAGGGTAATGTGGGGATAAGGACACATATGTAATATCTTAATCAATAAAAAATATATTTAAAAAATGCTGTAAATTTAATTAAATAAGAGGTTATATTTAAAAGTTAAAAAAAGAGAAATGCCCCCATGCAATCTCATGAATTCTTAATTCATGCACCAACACAATTTTAAGTTTTTTTTGTTTTTTTGTTTTTTTACATGTTTTCTACTGGTTCAGGCTTTGGGTGTTAGAAAAAAATGAAAGTTTTGTAAATTTTAAAATGGTTCATAAGTGTTCTCTTATATTAACTCCTACTTTACAATTCTGCGAAATTGGGAACTTAATATGCCAATGAGGAAATACATGTATGAAGTCATTTCCTCAGGATCAAATAGAAGTTTCTGTGAATCTACAGGATAAGATAGGAAAGGGAAAGAGGTCTTGGGAGGCAGCACCAGCTCAGCGCACCAGCTTTACCATCTTCTAAACAAGTGTTCCCTCTCCAGAGCTTCATCTTACTCGGTGTTTGGGAACTGTCTAGCCTCTTAAGTCCAAGTCATTTTATTATAAAAAATGGGGAGAATACCAACTGTAAAGAATAAGTATAAAGAAAAAACACCACAGGCGCGAGACTCTTGGCACATAGCAACAGCTTCCTTTCCCTGGACTCTACTGTTCACGAAGGGGAGTAGACCAGAAATTTACATTCTTCAAGTTGGAATAGTTTCCTGTGTTTCTCTGTTTCATGGAACAGGTTTAAGGATGCCTTAGAAGTCCAGGAATTGTATTGATGGAACAGAGATTTAAGGGGAACAGAAGTTAATAGACAATTTTATCTCATAACAGGGAGAATATCTGAAGTGGTCTCTGAAACTATTGTGGTGAACCACCATCCTAAAGCAGAAAGGGGCCTAGTTACTCAATGTTAAGGTAGGTCAATCTATGGCTACTCATTACAAAAGAATCAATGTTCGTAGGATTGAGTTAAACCCAGATGTATAACTTAGATTTGTGCCAGACCCAGTTTAATCAGTGAAACTGTCTTAGGCTGGGACAAAGAGAATGTGAACGTACGTATAAAAATAAAATCCACCAAATTTATAATTGGCATCTTGAATGGTGGTTTGATCTAGATTGTGGCACCTAAGTTGTGTTACTTCACCTAGAATATTTCAGAGAAATGTTTTCTGTGTCAGCCCACATAAAGGCACTAGTAATGTTCATGGACACTAGTAAGGTTCCTTCAAGTCCTGGAAGAAGCATTCTGATGGTGGGTCTGAGGTTCCTGAGCGATGTTTTGTTCTGATGAAATAAACATGAATTAGAAGTGATACCCACTTAGGTTCACATACTAACTCCACTGTTTCTGGCTGCATGACTTAGGGAGTGTAATCTCTCTGCCTCGGTTTTCTATTCTATTTCCCTGTCTGAAATGAAGGGAGTGATAGCTACATTAAAGATGCTTCATGTAGCCGAAGCCGGTTTGGCTCGGTGGATGGAGCGTCGGCCTGCGGACTGAAGGGTCCCGGGTTCGATTCCAGTCAAGGGCATGTACCATGGTTGCGGGCACATCCCCAGTGGGAAATGTGCAGGAGGCAGCTGATCGATGTTTCTCTCTCATCGATGTTTCTAACTCTCTATCTCTCTCCCTTCCTCTCTGTGAAAAATCAATAAAATGTATTTAAAAAAAAAAAAAAAGATGCTTCATGTATTAAGTGAACTGTGTGTGTGTGTGTGTGTGTGTGTGTATGCGCGCAGAAGGTCAGATGTTAAGTGCACTCCCTTCCTAACTGATCCCTCCCCTCGGTTCTTTGCCCTCTTCCGCAGAAAACAGACACAGTGCTATCCTTCTTTCCCAGCTCTATGAATAGACCTTTAGACACGGATATAACCAATGGAAGAGACCTGTTTATCATGTAAGGATCAGCTCAGGAGATCTTGCCTGACTGAAGCAGAAGGCGAGAGGTCACATCGGGCTGGAATAGTCCAGTCTTTCCTCTTGTGTTATGGAGAGCACTAGGCAACAAAGCATTGAGAAAACCTTGGGGTTTTTCCTCTTCCTTGATTCATAATCCAGGCCAAATTTTGACCAACTTATTTCCTCAGCTTTTGACCAGAACTGTGAAGAAGTTAAGCCCTGGATAGACCAAAAGACAAATGTAGTTTCTGAAAATTGGAGTGTTTCCAATGACTTTGGTTCCATCTCTGGGATATACTTACCCATTAGGGTGCCGTCCACAGAGCTGTAGGCTTTGTTTCTTACAGTGGTCACCTTGTCAGAATGTTTGGATGCATTTAGTTCACAAGCAAGGGGGAGGCCATGGCTCCGATCTCTTCACTGTTTTCTCTGGTGTCCCTCCCTCTTTATCCAGATGCTGAAAATAGACAGTTATTTCCCAAGGGTTGCATAGAGAAACCTGTGCCCTTCCCTCTGGATCTTCAGTTATTCTCCTTGGGAGCAATTTTCACTCCTTATCCCATTCCACCTCCCAGGACTAGATTATAAACTTACATTTCTATTCTCCTGATGGAGTTCTTGGCTGACCCCAGGTCACTCTTCTCTCCCTAGGCCCAAGGTTTTTAAAGATTTCAAGAGGGAAGTCTTGAAGTTGGAAAAGTTCATAAGAGAAGGGGGGGGTGGGGTTGGGGAGGGGCATCAGATACTAGTATAACCAATAAGAAAACTTAAATTTTTTGTCATTGTTTTTACCATTTAAAAACTGTTAATATCAACTCTAGGCTACACAAATAAAGAAGAGATTTACTTAAATACAAACTTCATCAACATTTTAATTTTTCATTCTGCTTCTAGTTTTTTTTAAATTCATGTTTACTTAAAAATATTTATAATCACAAGTGACAATGGTTTGTGTGTCCATATCTGTGGTCACTTTAACTTACACTTCCCAGAATAGTGCGAGTATAGTTTCAGTTGTCCCACTATAGCAAGTGGCACAGACGTATTGGTCAATAGCTTTTTTCTGCTCAACCTTAG